ATCCAGACGCCATTTTACCTGATTACTCCATGAGGTTTTCTAAGCTGAGCTGTGTCAGGAATCCAGCCACAGGCTTTTCCGGCCTACCACCTTCTTTCTTCAATCTATCGCTGTGGATGGTGTCCAAGTGACTCTCAAACCGTAAGTTGACCTACCCATTACGCCAGGCATCAGTCCCACGGCACCATGCAAGGGTCAGGTCCTCATTTTACTGCTGCATTTTGTCTAAGTCTGTTCTAAAACCATTGCATGTTCATGCATATCATTCGTTTAAACCCCTTACTGGTCTTTGGGTGTACTACAGACTTCTTAGACATTATCGCATGTCATGTACAAACCAACGAACCACTGCATCTTTGCCTACACACTGACCCCTACCGGTCATTCGGTGTACTACAGGCTTCTCAGACATTATTGTATTTCATGTACAAACCAACGAACCACCGCATTTTTCACCTACACACTGACCCCTATTGGTCATTCGGTGTACTACAGGCTTCTTAGGCGTTGTTTGCATTTTCATGTACAAAACAATAAACCACTGCATTTACACCTACACACTGACCCCTACTGGTCTTTCGGTGGACTACAGGCTTCTTAGACATTATCGCATTTCATGTACAAATCAACGAACCACTGAATTTGCGCCTACACAATGACCCCTACCGGTCATTCTGTGTACTACAGGCTTCTCCGACATTATTGCATTTCAGGTACAAACCAACAAACCACTTAATTTTCACCTACACACTGACCCCTATCAGTCTTTCGGTGTACTACAGGCTTCTTAGACATTATTGCTTTTCATGTACAAAACAATAAACCACTGCATTTTCACCTACACACTGACACCTACCAGTCATTCTGTGTACTACAGGCTTCTCAGACATTATTGCATTTCATGTACAAACCAACGAACCACGGCATTTTCACCTACATGCTGACCCCTACAGGTCAATCGGTATACTACAGTCTTCTCAGACTTTATTTCACTTCATAAGCAAACAAACCAACTACAGCATTTTCGCTTTTATACTGACTCCTATCTGTCATACGGTAGGATTAACCCCTTAGGGACACATGACATGTGTGTCATGTCATGATTCCCTTTTATTCCAGAAGTTTGGTCCTTAAGGGGTTAAAGGGTATTTTTACCATACAATCAGCATTTATGACCCCTACTGGTCAACAGCAAAACTGTCTTCACATGTCATATACAATTTACCAGCCAATATAAATTACAGATAAGATTGTTTTAACCCCTTAAGGACATGTGTGACGTGTCATGATTCCCTTTTATTCCAGAAGTTTTGTCCTTACGGGGTTAAACATAACCATAAACCATAAATGAAACTCCAGCACAGGCTCAAATTCAGGTTTAATTCACAATAATTTATATTTCACATCAAGACCAACAGTGGTTCTATCAACACTGCCACCTACAGGTCTGTCAAGTACATTGACAATTTTCATGGGGTTTTACAAACACCAAAACACTTACACCTATAGGTCAAAAGACAAACAACATTTCACATACCAATCAGTATCCAACTACACTGCCACCTATAGGGCACTCGGCAGATCTCCAGTGCACTTGCATTTTGCAACACCATGTTCACTGACCCCTGCCATTCAATAAGACATACAACAATTCACATAGCAAGCACTATATCAACATCAGGTATAAATACATATATTATTACACAGTAGCAGACGCGTCTGTATATACGTAACTGGTAATATAGTTCACATACATTTTTCACAGCACGCTGCTCATGCAACAGACTTTCCCCTAGCAAGGGGACATACAACATACAAGGTGGGGACAGACCACATTTTCACTTGTACATACGGCACTTAATGGGTTAAAATTGATACATATTTAACCAGTATGGCTACGATGTTTAATATTTACACATCATGGCACTTTACTTTTTTACATATACTGTACGTATTAAGATAAGCTTGGTCTATGTCATATTTCCTTATGCCATATGGTTTTATCCATTCAGGTTACAGTTACTACTAAAAAACCTATACGGATTGTCAGGTTCAATACCATACTACCAGGTACATACACCTGCTCACGTAGTTATCCATCTCTTACCTTCCCTGGAATAGTAATAGTGTACTGGCAATTAGGGTTCTAGGGCCCAATAGGTATTACCCCCTTTTTCTCTGCATTATGCTTCGGTTAGTGGTCCCGCGAGGCCAACACCCCGCCTCACACTCGGAGGCATACACCCCTCGGGCCACTCGTGAGCTAGCCGCCTCGCATTGTATCATAGAGAGGGCCTCACCTGTCACTCCCCTTCCTATTTTCTGGTTACTGTCACCGAGAGGCCAACATCCTGCCACAACGTTCGGTGGCCACACAAAATCCCCTCGCGCCAAGCATAGATAGAGCCTCTCAAGCCACTTGGCAACTAGCAGGGCCTCACCAGTCACCAAAAAACACCAAGCCTAATCGTTTCGCCTTACGGCTTAGCTAGCAAGCCAGTACAAGAACCCTGGGTACAAATAATTGCATCTTTATTGTTATTTAAGTATTTCTCCAAAAGATGGTGAAGAATCACCTCTTCCTAGCACCCCGGCTAGAATTGATACACCTTCAAGCAGAGGAGATGTTGCTAGTCCTGCAGCAATCAGATCCTGGACGATCCCACACATTACCACCGACCTAAGGAGGTGACAAATCCCCTACCCTGCTACAGCAAGGAAAGCAGAGTTATTCAAACTCCTCCATACATCAACGGACAACACGGAGGCAGGGGAAGGCCCAGCTACATCAACTCAGGTGACACCCAGGCTATGCTAGCCTCACTCATAAACTCATGAGCCAAAAATATTTTATGACAGACTGGCAATCTCAAGTTGGTCACCACAGCCCTCACAAGGCTGGGCCGCACGTTACTGTACAACCAGCACCAACCGAAACTCGGTTACCTGGTACAATCAATTCTTATGACACACAAGATGTTAACCCTGCACGTATGATCCCAGCACATTGGGGAAGCAAGGCATATATATGTATGATGATGTATCTGTGATGGTCAGATTCAGGGATTCCAGGTAAATCGGGAACTGACCATCTCTTGGATGGGTTGGTATTTGGAATATGTAGAGATGTTTATTTGTGCAGGTACCCATACAGAAGGGGTTCTGTCCCAAACAAATGGACGAGCACTCTCAGGCTCCAGGTACCAGCACCTCTGAACTACCAGAGACGATTGATATGAGTAGTTGCATTGCATATAGACTGTTGTATATATGTTCAAATGGTTCAGGGCACATGACAAACCATGTGGCCCAATACAACTTACAAATAACGTACTCACCATCTGTACACACCAATGCATTTTCAACACTACTGACTCATCACCCTTCCAGACTTGTAGTAGATTTACTAAAGCTCTGGAGCTTCAAAGGGCTCCCATACAGGTATCATAAACACACCTTCAAGGAATATAGCATGCCCTCACTTACAGTCAGCACAACAAAACCATTGGCTGAAAACACACTCAGAGTGGTCTTCCAATCTCCACCATTTACAGCATGGCACCAAACACACACATTAGTATTGTCACAAGGAATCTTCCCTTAAACAAAGACTAACCATAGACTTATTGGCACCACACACCTCCGCTACCCCAAGTCTCAACTCCCTCATACCCTCCGAGGATTTTTCTTACTATACAACACCATTGATCTACCTTTACAGCTATCACTCAAGCATGGGTTGAAGCTTGGTTAAGTAAGACCAATATCAACGCAGTAAACAGCTACCATCTACCCTACACACTGGCACTTACATGGCATAAATTGGGCAATCCTTTCCCCGCTCAACTTTCGAGCTACAGATTAGCCTACTATCGATATTCGCAGATACTCTGTGCTGGTTATGATAACATATCCAGAGGCATTACAGTCATACACTATCTAGAAGACTTCTTGTTGCTCAAAGAAAGCATATTTTTCACTAGAAGCCTCATGGCAGCTTAGTCTGGTTGACCACTTGGGCGTCCCAGTACCCCATAAGAAACAGAAGGCGCAGACACTATCATCACATTACTGGGCATATGACTTGAGTTGGCATCCATACACGCAAGTTACCACAAGACAAATAGGGAACATTCTCAACTAAATCAATCACTACCTCCTGCTTAGTACTTACAACTACAAGGAACTACAATCCCTACCAGGTTCCTTAATTTTGCCATGCCAATCATACCACAAGACCACGCTTTCACATCCAGAGTACTTTCCCCTTTTTTCCACACTTCCAACATGACGATCAGAGGAGGTGCCTAGACACCTCAGCAACAGCAGACCTGCACATGGGGGGGGATTTCTTAACCACTTGGCATGGTAAAAGCATGTTCCTTCCAGGATTGTCTGACACTTCTCCAACCAGATGGTCAGACGCAGCGTATACCACGGGTTTGGCAGCGATCTACCGGGAACAATTGCTTTGGGGCTGTTGGCCATGGCATCCAGGTTTGGAAATTTTTCCACCACTTCAGCCCCTTTGGGAGATCTACCCCATTGTAGCAGCTGCTGTGGCATGGGGTAAATCATGGTCAGGGTCATCAATCCGTTGTTACTCAGACAACTAAGCACATATCATATCATCAACAAACGCCACTACTCATCCATAAGTTCATGATGTTTCTGGGGAACTCACTTGGTTGGCCACTTATCACATTTCACTTTCATGTACCAGACGGGGGTATACATCCCTGCCGACAACTGTCTCATTTATATTCCAGGCATGTTCATCATACGCTTCCTACAGCCGCCCATACAGTCACGTCCACTCTTTCGTTCCAGAGACAAAATCATGGATTAGACATACTCATGCAGCATAGCATGCACTATCCCACCTAGCACTTTCGTCCCATACTTGTAGAACGCATAACACAGCTTTTCACCTGGCTTAAAGAATCTCATTGGAACACGACATAGCTCAACCTGTGTCACAAAATTTCTCCTAAGTTTTGCTTATTTTTGCCACCTTAAACTTAAACTATCTCATACACCATTAATTATATATTTTACAGGCATTCAACAACACATAATAACCTATGGCCAAAACTACCATAAACTTCATGCTATCATACCAGAAAAGAATGTACTCAGAGGTTTTCAGGAATCCATTCCCCCACGTTCCTCTCAGAGATTACCAATAGCCATCCAACTGTTCATCCTTATCGGACCTATTAGATCTACAACCATTCAATTATACTACCAAGTCGGCCATTACCAGCCATGCACATTGCCTTTTATGCCTTTCTCAGGCCAGAGAATCCACTACCATCACCACCACTCAGACAGATCATTGTCTTCAACGATCCCACGTACGTAAACATATATATCATTACCTATTGGCTCTACCACATTCCGAAATGAGTCAACATGCACCAACAGTAGAGATAACATACTATCCTACCCACAACAAATGGTGCCCACTTTCGGTCCTAGATTCCTACCTTCAAAATCCTTTCAGGAATTAAATACTGTAATGCATTTAAGGAAATGTCTGGTTAATTTGTATATATTTGTTGACTGTATTAAATCTTTGATTATTCATTTTTGCCCTCTTTATTTACAGGCCTACCGTATCGTCGGTATCGGCACACCACAACCGACTTGCTCCCTTTACACTATCCTAAGCTCATGCTGGATCCTTACTCCATATACGGCTATTTTGCCCCTTACACAAATATATATATAGCAAAAAGGAAAGAGATGCACTCTCAGGTCTTTGTAAAAAAACTCGATATTATTTAATAACAGGTAACATACATCTGATCGACGTTTCGACCTCTTCAGGTCTTCCTCAAGATCATGAGGAAGACCTGAAGAGGTCGAAACGTAGATCAGATGTATGTTACCTGTTATTAAATAATATCGAGTTTTTTTACAAAGACCTGAGAGTGCATCTCTTTCCTTTTTGCTTTACATATCCAGCGTGGGATTGCACCAAGGCAGTCTTTTACTGATTCATTGAAAGGGTGAGTGCCACTATACTTGTGTATATATATATATATATAAAGGTCAGTTTATCCCAATAAATAAAGTAAAGAGATAAGAACCCAGTGATAAGGGGAAAACAGTGTTTGAGTGTTTAAAAAAAAATGCATTGTGAAGCTCTGACAGCTACAGTTTTAAATGTAAAAATAAAACACCCAAAGTCTTTACAGGCTGCAAAGATATATATATATATATATATATATATATATATATATATATATATATATATATATATTTACACTTACTCCATGCAGAGACATTCTATAAATCAGTTCTTAGGGAGAGCCTAAGTGTAGCGACTGATGAATAACACATGAAAAGTTGTACCATAGAGAGGAAAGGAGGTTTCTCTGGTATCGGACTGAAGTGAATTGTTTGGTGAAGTGAGAAAGATAATGATTCAAAATGAATGATCTATAAACAACGTTGTATTGTGGCATGATATTTCACCTAGGCAAAAACAGGACAAGAATATGAGTACCAGGCCCAATTCGGAAGTCGAAAAATTTTTTTTTAGTAAAAAATGTTTCGGTACGCAAAGATCTTCGGTACCCGAACATACAACGAAGAGCCATAAGTAAAAAATGGCTTTGTACACGAACAATCTTCGGTAGCCAAACATACAACAAAGAGCCAAATGTCTTAATAAGCGAATGATCTTCGGTACCCAAACATACAACAAAGAGCCATGTCTCATTTTCAAGTCAGACAATTATTATAAATAATTGTAATAATGGCCAACAGTACATTTTTAGCAAGTTGAAAGTCAGGAACCACTCAAGTAAATGTAAGGTGCTTGTTATTAGAGTGATCTATTGTAAAATGCTGTAATTTGGCAGGGGTCTGGAACGGATTAATCAATTTTACATTAATTCTTATGGGAAATGTTGATTTGGTTCTCTAATACTTCGGGACTTGAACGGCCTTCGGGAATGGATTACGTTTGAATTCCGAGGTTCCACTGTATATATAAATAATACAATAATAAAATAATAAATAACGAACAAAATTGAAAAACATCTATAATTTCTTAATCCAATTTTTAATCCAAATATAAATCCAATTTTAATAAGATGCTCTGTGATTTATTTATTTTTTATATAAACCTATATTAAAAACTTTAGTTCAGAGAAGGTAAAGCCAGAGCAAACACTGCAAATGAAGAGGAGAAAGGAGGACATTGCTCAGGTAATTATGGAATAAAGATGTGTGCTCATTTTTACAGTTGTTTTTTTTTCACACCTCACAAGTACATTTATTAAATGTATTTATTACTTATATAAAATTAGCCCGGTTAAAACGGAAGTTCTCTTCTACCATTCACTCTCCTCTTCACTTTCCATTCCAAACCCCACTTTTTAATTTCCCCCTCTCATATCTACCCATTACCCATAGATCACAACATAAGGGTCATCTTTGACACCTTATTCGTCTTTGAAAAACTCATAACCACTGTTACTTTTGTCTTTTGTTCTCACGTATTTAATAATCAGAAAATCTGCCTCCACTAACTTTCTCTCCTGCAGAATTCCTCATTCACTCTCTCATCTTCTTCAGGCTTGATTGCTGAAACTCACTTCTATTTGGCCTTTCACAGCACTCCATTACTCAGCTTCAACAAATCTAAAGTGTTGCTGCCTGCACACACCTTAGAAAACCAAAATTATCTTTTCAAATGTTTTATTGTCAAGCTCAAATCCTCTAACCTCACTTTTTTCTACCTGCCCTCACTTATCTCCACCTACAATCCAAACCTCCACTCCCACCTCTTTTTACTCTTCCCTTAAACATCACCTTTGTCATCTTATCAACCTTTTTTATCTTCTTTCTCTATTCTATACTTTATTATAATTGTCTTTGGTCTTCTTTACATTCTATGCTCTGTGGTTGTGAAGCTCTGCTTTTAGATTCTATCTTCATCATACTCACTGTGTAGGGTATACTATTTGTGAAATAGTATTCTTCTTATTGGCTCAAATCATAGATGCATTTTTGTTAAACCACAATTATATCTTCTTCCCACAACCTTTTGCTTACATGTTCAATTTCACTCTAGGTTTTAAGCTGACCTGTAGGGTTCTTTTCTCCCTTTGTTTCAGTGTGTCTAAATATTTATCTTCTGTTTGTGTAATTATCAAAGTAGTTTTTCCAAAATGGTAAAGTAATCTGGATAAGAGCGCTATATAGAAAATGTTAAAGTAAATAAACATATATGGATAAATTATTATAATATGAAAATACTGGGAAGTAACAGTTATTCTTATGCTTTATTAAAAATACTTTTAAGGAATTAGTTATATCCGTGTACTAGCACCATACCTCCATTCTACTAGAATGACTAGTGAGCCAGCATTTCATAAATATTAGCAAACAGTGTACATCTGTTTGTACAATATGGCATTTTAGGTTTTCTTGTTTGCTGCACAGAGTTAAATACTTTCCACTGTAATGTCTCTCTGTATCTCTGAGCAGCAAACTTGGAAACATTGTACAGTATTTAAAAAATATTGTAGTCTTGTTGCACAGACAGTGTAAAAGCATTTCTTCCATGTCTACTAACAAAATCACTAGTGTTAAATGCCAGAGTTCCTCTGACTATTTGTCTGTCACAGAGAGTTGTAAATTGCACCCTGTCTCCAGAATGGTGTTTAGACACATTCTGAGATTAATGGTTTTGCATAGACATTCTGGACTCCAAGTGATTTTGAGATGAACTCCATCATGTCATCCTCTTTAATTCATATACTGTACAAAATTGACTTCCATAGTTTGATATCAATATATCTAGATGTTTTTTTTTTTGTTTGTTTATTTGTTGTTGTTTTTTTAGAGTAGTTTGTACAGTTATCCATGTTCTAAGAAACAAAGCTTTTAGTTTCTCAGTATTTGTTATTGGGTATAAACATGGTCCTGCTGTGTGTACTGGTGTGTTTTGATTGACAAACATAGGTTCATTTGAGCACGGCTCTCTTAACCTCTGGTGTCTGTCAACTTTATTTTGTCTGTCAATTACTTGCTGCTCTTTTTCCCCATTGCATGACTGTAAATCATTGAAGAATATATTGGTGCTAAATAAATGATAATAGTGATGATAATAAAAAATATAGCTACAATCTGTTATGTATGTACACAATACATATGCATATATTGCATGTATATAAGTAAATTACAATACTATGTATTTTTTTTTAAGTAATTGCATTTATTTTCAAAATTAGTCACTTGCAGGGTTACTTCAACCATTATGACCATTTTAGTGGTTTGAAGTGATCATGGTGGTAGGAGTCTGGCTGTGCAGCATTTCTGGCTGAAATAATGCACATCCAGAGATATATTAATTTTTGTGCAAGCACATGTGACTCAAATCTGGGCTGCTAAATGTCAGTTCTGTGCATATTTGATGACTGTCATCAGCACACACTATATGCTGGCTGCAGATATAACAATTTTCTCCTTTGAAGGCATAACTCCTTCCCTACATCCCTTTGTGTAGCCCCTCCCACCTGCAACCATTAAATAAATAACATTTTATTTTTAATACAAAGAATCTTTCCTCCCTGCCTCACCACTCGTGTGTGCTGAACTGTTTAATAGTCAAATCACAGGCTTGTCTATAAGACTCCTGTGATTGGACCATGTTAGGGCTGCTGTGATATTGGATGGAGGAGGGAGATCAGTGTTGGGAGCTTTCCATGGTGCTGGATTTCAGTTATGGTTTAAAACCTTTTTCACATTGGCGTGCTAGCTAGGATTATCCAATAGTCATAACCTTCTGAGTCATAAGGGTTGGAGTAATGGTCATCAGAACATTTAACATATTTGCTTCATGTTTCAAATGGCAAAGCAAAATTTTTATTATTTTAAAATGGTCACAAAACCACATGACTAATTAATTATATGGAACAAATCTAAATGCACCTCATAACAACTTTACACACATATCTTTTCTGTAAATAAGCAGTTTCAGGGAAGAAGTTTTTTTAGTTTTATGAAAAAAAAAACACAAAAAATTTACAAAATTTCTTCCACTTATGGTTATATGGGCTCCGGTTTTAATATGAAAAAAAAACAACAAAAAAAACAGAAAAACAAAAAACAGTTCTATCCAGTGCCTGGTTGAAGGAAAAAAAAATAAAGATAGACAAAAAAAATTAAAATGAAAGCTAAACAATAACTAATTAAC